TATGGGGTATTTTAAGCAGGGATGAAGGACAACTAAAAAAGGTTACCACAGAGACATTAAACATTAAACATTAAAAAGGTTCCCACTATGGTATTGGACAATCGGCGATTAAAGGTGTATAAAATAGCTAGGGCCATAGGCATTTCAGAAGAATCCAACCGAATTTGTGCGGCAATTTGTAAAATGTGGGTCCACCACTACATGCCAGAAACCAAACAGCAATCAAAGCAATGGGTGGAAGTGGGTGGCTCTGCACCAAAAAAGGCAAAGTCGATCATCTTTCACCAGGACAATGCACATGTGCTTTGGCACTGGGAAAACCAAGGGATCTGAACGAATTATTGCAACATGCATTGTATTCCCCAGATTTGCCTCCCTCTGACTTTCACCTGTTCCCAAATCTGAATATATTTATGGTTTGGGTCAAATGAAGAGGTGATGGCAGCCGTAGATGAGTATTTTGTAGACCTCCCAGAATCCTACTTCAGGGATGGAATCCAATTATTGAAAAAACGTTGGACAAAGTGCATTGTACTAAAATGAGACTATGTTGGAAAATAAATGCATTTTTTTTTTAAATATGAGAAAAATAATAATAATAATATAATATATATATTATATCTATATCTATACTTATAGATATATGAAGAAAAATAATCTTACCTAGAATTTTTGTTTTTGAAATGTGGAATTTGTATTTAATTTAATTAATATTGATTTTAAAGTATTTAAATTTAAATATTTAATTTAGGCGGTTTTTTTTTGAAAAAATACTTTTATATTTTGTAACCCGTGCTTTTTGCTTCCTAAAGTGATCGAGAAGTAACCTTCGATTTTTGGGACTTGGGTAAGTAACCCAGAGTAGGTTTCCGAAAACGCCCATATACTACCTACCTACCTACTAGGGTCAGTGTTGATAACTCTTAATGAAATAAACTACCCTAGTAGAAATTTTACGTAGAAAAAACGTTTTTTTCAGGTTGGAAAAACCTAACTTATGGGGGGGATTTAGTATTATAAAACTTTGGAAATACGTGAGATTTGTGTATTATACAACGTTGGGAATATGTGGGATTTAGTATTATAAAACGTTGGAAATAAGTGGGATTTGTGTATTTGGAAATATTGTATTATAAAACTTTGAATTTTTGAATAATTTTTGGTGTTATTTTACACTGCCAAAATTAATGGAAAAATTAAAAAATATTTAAAAACATAACAATTTGTTGTACAAAAAAACAAATACACTTTTGAAAAGAAAGAATATTGCCAAATTGGCAATGCCAATTAATAAAATCTAAAAAATATTATTTAAATAATAGTAAACAAATTAAAATATAACAAAATGGCTTAAAAGAAAAATGTGCAATAGAGTAGTTTTAGGTATTTTAAAAAGAAAAAATATTGCCTATATGCAATATTTTAACAACTTTCTTAAACACAAGATACTACAACTTTTAAATCAATATAAATAAAAATCTAAAAAATCTTATTTAAACAATAACTAAACAAATTTCAATATAACATAACCTAAAACATGACCTAAATAAAAAAATTAACAATTTAAAAAAAAAATATTGAATATTAACAATTATTACAATTTTCGAAATAAAAGATTATACATATTATAAAAAAAAATGTGATGATTTTTGCTTTTGAATAAAAATTTATTGCACAAGCTGTAAAGGTAAAAAAAAGGCAAAATTAACATTTTTTATTATATTTTTTATACACTTGTGTGTGTGTGTTTTTGGAAAATACCGCTCGGTGAATTTGAATTTTTGAATTTTTTTTGAATTTTTGCTCGTTTGTTCCGTGTCCCCTGTTGTTCCATATATCACGAAACTACGATAGTAACATTTTATTTTATTGAAACTATTGACAAAGAAGGTTTTGTAAAATTTAAACATTTACCATTGACTAAGGAATGAAAAGACGTGCAACCGGATAGGAATATCTGTGCCAAGCGTTTATAATAATAACTCTTTATTTATTATTGACCCCAAAATTCAGTTTTAAAAACTGGTACCAGGGCCTAAAAAAATATACATATAACAAAAAAAATAATTCTAACCTAAATTATTACAAATATTATACCATTGAGTAAAGATTATACTTTATATAAAAAAAAGTTATACTTTATCTTGAAATAATATTCTATGATTAACAACAATTTAGAGTTTTATCACAATTAGCTGCACAAAAGCTTTATTTCCCTTAAAAAATAATGAACATTCTTTGTAATTTTTACCTGTTCTGGTAGTTTGTTAAAAGCAATGATACATTTAAAGAATGGTGAAGTTTGCGTCTTTTTTGTAAGTCTTAAATTAGGTCTTATGTTGTTTTTATTTCTAGTCAGGTATTCATGGAAATCTTTGTTATAATTGATGGTTTGGTTTAATTTTATTCTACCTTCTTTTGCGTTAAACGCCATTTTAAGTTGTTCAAACATAAGCAAGTTATCAAAATTTGGAATTTTAGTCTTTATATATACATGTTTTGGAGAAGTTCTAAGGCGTAATTGATATAATATTTTTAATAGTTTATTTTGCAGTCTGCGTAGTGGTTTTAAATATTCGGGAGAATTTCCCCAACAAGGTACCAAGTAGCGTAGATTTGAGCATACAAAATTGTTGTACAAAAGTCTTCTCGTATTGTCATCGACAAGATGACGACACCTATAGAAAACACTAGCCATAGGGATTGTCTTTTTTATAATAGTTTCTATATGACTTCCCCACGATAGTCCTTCATTTAATGTTAGTCCTAAATATTTCAACTCACTTACTTTGCTTAACTCATTTCCATTAATTTTAATTTTCACAGTTCCACAAGGTTTGTTTTTTTGTTTGATTAACATATAAACAGTTTTTTTTAACATTTAAACTTAATTTGTTAACAATAAGCCAGTTTTTATACACATTAAGATTACTATTCACACACATTTGGAGTTCATCCAAATCCCTATGGCTGTAAATTAAAGCTGTGTCGTCAGCAAATGTAAAGTATTTAGCTTTTAATTGTAAGTTGTTTAAGCTATGAACATATAGCAAGTACAGAACTGGACCCAGTACTGACCCTTGGGGTACTCCCATAGACACAAGAAGTTTTTCACTAGATGTTTTGTTTATCACTGTGTATTGCACTCGATTTTCCAAGTAGGTTTTCATAAGTTGGTAGGGTGTTCTTCGAAATCCCATGTGTTCCAGTTTATTTAATAATAGGTTTATATCGACAGTATCAAATGCTTTTTGTAAATCGACAAAAACAGCAATAACATATTCATTCTTATTAAGGTTGTCTGAGATATACTCTAATAAATCTGTGGCTGCATAAAGTGTACTAGAGTTTTGTTGAAAACCATATTGGTATTTATCAAATTTAAAAGTAGAATTTACAAAATTAACTATTCTTTTTTTAATGACACTTTCTACTATTTTTGAAAAAATCGACAGGATATAAATTGGGCGGTAGTTATGTATATCTTCCTTTGAGCCCCCTTTATTCATAATATCTTGTTTATTTACATGGTCATGTCCAGCTGAGTTGGTTTTTATTGATGAGATAATGGTAAATATTTCATTTTCATTGGTGGGTTAAAAGAAAATGTTTAAGTTATTCGTCTCTTCATGAAATGTTGTGTTACTTGCTGGTATTACTGAGGCCAGTATGGTCCCAACTGTATTAAAATAATTATTAAAATATTGTGTTATTTTGCTTTTATCTGATATAATTTCGTTATTTATTTTAATATTTTCTATTGTGTGTTCTTTATCTTGTGACTTGCTATTATATATTATTTCATTTATAACTTTCCATTTTCTTTTTGTGTCTTGCCCCGCTGTGTACATTTGATTACTAACCCATCTCTTTTTTAATATTTTGGCCATGTTAGTTACTTGGTTTTTTGCTTTTTTAAATTCCGTTTCTAAAAACTCAGTCTTTAGTTTTTTCCACGATACATATAACTTATCTCTATGTTTCATTTTACGTAAAAAATCATTGTTGATCCATTTATTATTATTAAAAGTTTTTAAATTAATTGTTTTAGTGTGTTGTAATTTTGTTTCTTTAATACATTCTCCAAGTTCTTTAAAAGTGTCAATATTATTGTTTGTTATTTTTTGCTTTAATAAAGTATTCCATCCTTCTTTATTTATTATTGTTTTAGTAATCTTTGTTTTTGTATTATGTTTAATTTGTTTTATAATTTGAATATTTAAGATTTTATGATCTGAAATACAGTGATCCTGTAATTTTATTTTACAATTAATATTATTATTGGCCAAAACGTGATCTATAATACTTGCTTTTTGTGCACCAATTCTTGTAGCATGTTCTGTTTTAATAATATTTTGTATTTTAAAATTGTTCATTTCAATAACGTTACTGTAGTTATTTGTTTCTTGTGTATTTACCAGGATATCTAGATTCATATCACCAATTAAAACACAATTTTTATTTCCTTGCTTTTCTAGTAAAAAATCCATATTTTCAATAAAAACGTTAAATTTACAAGTTTGTGGCCTATATAGTATAAAAATGTTTAATGCATTGTCTACTAAATGTATACCTACACAATTACAATCATTGTATTGAAAATTATATAATAAATGTATAAGGCCACACTTCCCCCTCTAGAGTCTCTACAATCATGGACTGCAAGGAACCCAGGAATATTGAAGTATTGTATTTCATTAGAAAATAGCCAAGTTTCAGTAAGGGCAATTATATCAATATCATTTTTATTATTTCTTCTAGTTGATCAAGTTTATTATGAAGACTTCTTATGTTAATATACATTAAAGATAGCTGGTATTTGATTTTATGTGTTTGTTTGTCTAGCATTTTTTTATATTTCTTTACATTAACAAAACAAAAAACTATGTTTACCTTAATTAATTGTTAAATTTGTAAGCTGCTCTTCATTTCTAATAAGTATTGGTGAATCACTATCTTTAACTACCACAAATATTTTTCCGGATGCACAGAATGCGGATTTAAATCCCCTTTCTTTTTTTTACATCTCTGGCTTTTTGAAATAAGGTTTGAATGTTTGGTATTAAATCATCATTAAAATAAATTTGACTATTACCTTCTAGTTGGCAATCACTACACTTTACACTTTTTATTTCTTTTCTATTCTTAAATACTTCTACTTTCTTGTTTTTTTCAGCAAATTTTACAAGTATTGGACTGTCATCCTTTTTTGAAATCCTTCTCGTTTCCAAGATACTTTGGCTGTTTTGCAATTTAAGTGTATTCATAATTTTTTCCACAATTGTTGTTGTTGTTTCATTTTGCTTTGGTACTCCAGAAATAATGAGATTGTTTTCCCTTTCGAGCTGTTCTTTGTTGTTTATTCTATTTTCAAGCTCACTCATTTTATTTTTTATTGTGTTGTTTTCTTCTTGTACATTTTTTAAAGCCTTTAAAGTTTTCTTAAGTTCTTCTTTTTGTTGTTCGAAACAGTCACTCATAAACCCAATGGATTTTTTAACTTCACTTATTTCATTTCGGTATGTTCTTTCCATGTCTTCTTTAAACTTAGCAAACTGAATTTCTAATAATTTGGCAATATTATTTTCCAAACTAACCTCGCTTTGTTTAGCTTCCACATTCTTTTCCGAATCGGACTCCTCAAACTTTTCTTTTACAGGATTTGAATTAGAACCTTTTTTGGGGGGCATGGTAAGGTATATTTCTTTCAATATCTTCTACTTTAAACGGGTTTTAAACTATTTTTTAAAACGTGTACTTTCAGGTTAGACTTCTTCTTCAGCTCTTTTAGTTGAAAATATAGGAAAATGTGTCCGTAAGGTCTCGCCATCTACCCATCATTGTTCCAAGTTTGGGAATGAGAGGTTTTGGTTTCATTTCGCTTGAAATTCCGATCTCCCACCAGTGCTCGGATATTCGAAACCGTGTCGACGTGCTTACTCTGTCTTGCATAATCTGCTCGCGCCGGGGTTTAGGTAGTTGATCAAGTATTGTTGGATTTTTCGTTTTTGCGGTTTGAAAATTTGTTTTCAGTTAGATATATGTATTCTAGCGCGCATTTAGATAAAAATTCATATTTCTACAACCGTTGAAGTTAGCGACTTTTTTTTTAAACTTTGTCAATGCTTTGATTACATTTGACTCGATATATATGTATAGAAATTTTCAATAATTCACATAGCTCGCCGCAGGGTAAAGTTTTTGATGCACGATTTTGATAATTCTATATTGCAAAATGTTTTTTTTTCAAAATATTTAGGAATTTTTAAAATTTCTGGATTGCTATTAGAAGCGCTCACATTTCAAGTATAAAAATCAGAATTTTAGATTGTATTCTAGAATTAATACGATTAATGTTACGAATCACCCAACTGCCTGTTGCAAACAAAGAAATAATAATATTTTTGGGACACATTTTTTTTTTAAATCACTAATTAATTTATTAATCATATAACTACAACAGAAAATGGTTAGTACAAGTCAAAAAGATAAATTAAAGTATACTGAACATAAATTTGCTGAAATATAAGAATGATTTTTTTTAACAAATATTTCTTTATTAAAAAAAATTCAATAAAATTTTTTTTACCCAATGATTTTTTGTTTGTTTTTAGCTATATAATATAATATTATTTTATTGGCAAAATTAAATTAAAAGTTTACCCGTTATAACCTCACGGATGTGTTTATATTTTAAATTGAAATTACTAATATAAAAATTCATATGTCTGTAACCGTTCAAGTTAGCGACTTAATTTTTGTTTAATTTTGTCAATGTTGTGACTACATTTGACTCGATATATATGTATAGTAATTTTCAATAATTCACATAGCTCGCCGCAGAGTAAAGTTTTTAATGCACGATTTTGATAATTCTATATTGCAAAATTATTGATTTTTGAAGAAAAAAAATTGCCCCTAAAATATTATTATTTTTTTTTTGTATCAGCGACAGACTGGAAAAATTGATTTGCTGGCATTTAAAATTGCTTATTTTTCTGAAAATTGTCATATTTTGAATAATATAATTTATAAAGAATTTTAATTCCAAACGCAGAAGCGATTTTATCCCACTATGAGGGTGAGTGATTCGTAACATTAACCGTTTTATTCTAGAATACAATCTAAAATTCTGATTTTTTGCAGACTTATACTTGAAATGTAAGCGCTTCTAATAGCAATTTAGAAATTTTAAATTTTTTTAAAGATTTTGAAAAAAAATTTTGCAATATAGAATTATCAAAATCGTGCATTAAAAACTTTACTCTGCGGCGAGCTATGTGAATTATTGAAAATTTCTATACATATATATCGAGTCAAATGTAGTCAAAACATTGACAAAGTTTTTAAAACAAAAATTAATTCGCTAACTTGAACGATAACAGAAATATAAATTTTTATATTAGTAATTTCAATTTAAAATATAAACACATCCGTGAGGTTAGTTAACGGGTAAACTTTTAATTTAATTTTGTCAATAAAATAATATAGTATTATATAGCTAAAAACAAACAAAAAATCATTGAGTTAAAATATTTTTATTGAATTTTTTTTTAATAAAGAAATATTTGTTAAAAAAATCATTCTTATATTTTAGCAAATTTATGTTCAGTAGGTATACTTTAATTTATCTTTTTGACTTGTCGTACTAACCATTTTCTGTTGTAGTTATATGATTAATAAATTAATTAATTTTGAAAAAAAATGTGTCAAAAAAATATTATTATTATTTCTTTGTTTGCAACATGCGGTTGCTAAATTAGCTAAGCTGATCAGTTAGCTAGCTAATTAACTTAGCTAACTTTTTTGGCCGGCTTAACCAGCTAAATTGTACTGCACTAATTTATACATATATATAAATATATATATATATATTAGGGTGTTTCAAAAAATCGACTTTTTCTTTTTCTTCAAATGGTCAGCAAATTCTTTCAGAGGATGTCAAAACAAAGACCTCGTTAAAATTTGAGCTTTTAATTTGAAGATTTAGAGGTCGCGGATCGCAATTTTCTATTTCCCATTTAAATAACATAGGAATTTTTTTTTTTAACTTTGAAATTTTATACCTCTATATCAAATCAACTTATGGCAAGGAACATCTTAGATTTTTATAGTAGTAGTAGTAGTACGGTTGGGTAGGCTCGAAGCCTGACAATTAGACTCCATGGTCCTTTTTATCTGCCCCTCCTAAACCAACCAAACTACTCCTCATCTTCCTCTTCGCCCATACCAGCCCTTTCGAATCTTCCAGACCTTCTTATAAAGGTCAGGATATCCTGCCAGGCAAGAGAGGCCAACTCTTCCCTTTGGAGTGTCATCACTCCAAAGATTTTATACCTTAGTCTGCCGAGGGCCTCACATTGTCCCGGGAAGTGAAAGGAGGTTTCATCCTCCCTTTTGCACTGGGTACAGGAGGGGCTGGTTTCAGCCCCTATTCTCGTGAGGTGTTTCCTTAGACCATGACCCGTGAGTATGTTCACAAGTGGGCCCAAGGAGGTTCGGCTCCTACCTAGAAGCCAGATGGATTTGGGTTTGCTTAGGGTGACCAGGAAATCCCTGGTCTGCCTACAGCCACCGCTTCTTCTCCAGCTTTCGTTCGCCCTTTTATCAGCCCAATTATTTAGGGCTGATTTGACCTGCTTTCTCGTAATTCCAAAAATTGGTTCGGGTCCTACACAGGGGGCTTCAGATCCCAATCTGGCCAACTCATCAGCCCGTTCGTTACCTTCAACCCCACTATGACCTGGTACCCATACGAGATGCAGTCTTTTTGTACTTGCTAGCTTTTCCAGCGCTTCCTCACACTCTTGAACCAACTTCGATGTGGTTCTCGCTGCCCAAAGCGCTTTCAGAGCTGCTTGGCTATCTGAGCAGATGTATATATCTGTCTCACTCCCTGTTCTTATATCCTCACAGTTTGCAACCTCAAGTATGGCAAACACTTCCGCTTGAAAGACAGTGGTATATCCTCCGAGCGGGTAGCTCCTTTGGATATCCCTGTCCTCCACGCAGAAACCTGCCCCTGAAGACAGTGTACTCGCCATACGAGAGCCATCAGTGTAGCACACTAGTGCATTTTGTGCAAAGTGTACCTCCTTTTTCTCCCACTGCTCTCTTGTTGGTATCGTGAGGGAAAACTTCTTTTTTAAACTTAGGCGGTCTTTTGCTGGCATCGTTCTAATACTGCTAATTGGGACCTCCCTCTCAGCCATATCCGCGATGCCCTCATGACCATAAGTTATTCCTTTTCCTAACCACTTGTTGGCATCCCTCATCCTTAAATGGCTCGCCATTGCTTCTCTCTTTATCCAGAGGGAAAGACTAGGCAAGCTCAGCAAGGCCTCTAATGCCGTCGTTGGAGTAGTCCTCATTGCGCCTGTGATACCGAGACATGCCAGTCTCTGTATCTTGCTCAGTTTTTGAGCGATGGTGGTTTTGCTCACACTGCGCCACCAGACCACTGATCCATAATGTATCCGCGGTCTGATGACAGCAGTATAAATCCAGTGAAGGACTTTGGGATTTACTCCCCAGCGTTTTCCCACCACCCGGCGCAGTAATCTCAAGAGGTCTTCCATACATGGCTGGTGCCCTGAAGTCCTGTATCTTCCTTCGTTTGGTAAAAAGAATCATGTCAGTTTTTGTTGGGTTAACCGACAGACCGTTTTCTTTGCACCAATTTTCTATTATTCTGCATGCTGTCTGCATTCTGTCGCAGACTACACCTAGAATGCCTCCTCTGATTAGGACTGTACCATCGTCTGCATATGCTTGTGCATACAGCCCCTCGGCCGTCAGTCTCTCCAGAAGTCCATCCATTATTAAACACCATAGGTGGGGTGATAGGCAGCCGCCTTGTGGGCAGCCGCCCCTCACACCGATGTCCAAATGGCAGTCTCCCAGAGATGCACTGACCTGCCTCTCCTCCAGTGAAGATTTAACCCAACTAACCAGGACTGGGGGAGTGCCTCTGGCTTGTAGCGCTTCACAGATTGTAGATGTCCTCGCCTTATCAAAAGCCCCCTCTACATCAAAGAAAACAGCTAGTGCCATTTCCTTGTAGTGCAGTGCTTTTTCGACTCTATGCACTATAGAATGAAGAGCCGTTTCGGTCGACCTTCCATTTCTATAGGCATGTTGATTCTTATGGAATGGGTACCTTTTCAGCACCCCTTCTTGCAGGTACCGGTCCACAATCCTTTCTAATGTTTTAAAAAGAAAGGATGTTAGGCTTATTGGCCTGAAGGACTTTGCAGCCGAGTAGTCTTTTTTCCCTGCTTTGGGTATAAAGACCACTTTAGCTGCCCTCCAGGCTCTTGGGACATATCCCAGTGCCAGACTGGCTCGGAATATTCGTTCTATTCTTGGGAGAAGAATCTCCAAGCCTCTCTGTAGCAATGCTGGGAATATTCCATCCGGTCCTGCTGCCTTGTATGGATCGAACGCATTTACTGCCCATTCCACCGATCCCTCCTTCACGACGTCTTTGGCAAGGCCTAAGTCCCAGGTAAGGATCTCTGGCCCCTCCGTTGTTGACGTGTGGGAAGGAGTTTCGCCGGGGAAGTGCGTTTCCAGGAGATGTCTTAGGGACTCTTCACTGGTGTTCGTCCACGATCCATCCAACCTTCTTAGGATTCCTACATTCCTTTATGAGTCACAGCTAAGGATCTTCATCAGCCTGGTTGACTCCTGAAGTGACTCTACAGTTCCACAGTATGTCTTCCAGCTGATATCCTTGCTGCGCCTTAACTCTTTTTTGTAAGACTTTCTAGCCTCCCTGTTCGTATCCCACGTGGATTGCAGCCCATCCTTGATAGCTCGGTTGAATGCGCGCCTTGCCTTCTTTCGAAGGTCGTCAAGCACGTCACTCCACCACGGGACCTTTCGGCCCTTAGCCACCTTGGCCGGGAAAGAAATCTCGTAGGCTGTGGCAATCGTACTATTTAGGTGGTTAACTTCCTTCTCTAACTGTTCTTTGGTGGTAATGTCCACAGGAGGTTCCCAAGTTCGACTTTTTAGATTGGTGAGATATTTCGCCCAATCCGTAACCCTTGGATTCCTCCTT